CGATATCCATGCTGAAAATTCCATACTTGTACCAAAAATACAGTGTGGAATCAAGCTGTAAATCAAATAAAAAAAAAAATATTCTTTTCGATAAATTTATCATCAGGTCCTACAATTATTTAAACATAATAGCGAATGAGTTAGTGTTCCTAACAAAATTAATGTTGTTTAAATAAAATAAAATCAATAAGAATAGTGATATCAATGGATTACAATTCTATGACACCAACATAACAATACACTGAATAAATAATAGAAAAACTGGGAAAAAAAATCATGCAAATTGATGAATTTATTGTCTCCGCTGAAGCCCACCCACAGCAGTAGTAGTGGCTGGACTTGCTTCTTCTGCACAGAGAACACTGGTTGTTTCAGGCGAATCGCCATAGCCTCTGCTGTTTAGTGTATGCGGTACCTAGATGTTTTCGGCAATATTTTTTCTTGATACTCGGTAGATTATGGAGAAGGATTCGTCAATGCTGGCTTTGTGGCCGGTTCGGACCAGATGGTTTAATGTTGAACTGTTGACCGTTTTTACTACACGTTTACTTAGCCACACTGGTAAATGTTGCCGAGCACGAATGATCAAGTTCCTAGAGCAACGGCCAATATAACTCACTCGACAAGCGCAGTTGAATTGGTAGATATAAGTGGAAGTGGCTAGTCTCGGTACTTCATCTTCAAATTTGAATTTAGTGATAGTTACCAGTATGTTCTAAACTTTGCTCACAGAAACACATCCCAAGACAACATGAGTATGGTTTTGTGACTTGCGAGAAAATAGAATGATTTTTACATTAATCGAAGTTCTACTTTTCTGTTAGACTGCTGAAACCTTATTCTCTCTGGAGAAGCTGGAGATCACAGGGAAAAAAAGCTTTTATAATGAATTAACGTTATTGAATAATCATTTAATTCAATTTAGATTTTCCCATCAGTTGCACAAGAGATAGCTCTCATGGCCCAAGTGGTCTGGTGGATAATGTTTTGGCGTTTGAAACTACAGGCACTGGGTTCCAGCCTTGGTGGGAACACCATCATTTACTGAGGAATGCAGGCACATCCAGATGACGAGTTGTAAATGGGAAGAAATCATCTTCAAGCTGTTGAATAATGTTTTAGAGAATTCTCATTAACAATCCATATACATATATGGTAGAATTATGCAAAAGAAATTATTCTGGATGATTGAAATTTGCCTATAAAAAATATTAATAATCGGTTGACAGTTGTTAGTAGAATCTTAAGATTTTATCCATTTAATTGCACATTATTCTAACAGAAGATATGAAATTCTATTGGCGCATTCTTACCTACTTCAATGCCAATCGATGTATTGCAAGTAAGTCATCCAATTGGATGAGTAGGAATAACGATGGTAAGCTTAGAAGTGGAAATGAAGTTGCGTTTTCAAACGACTGCCTTTATTTTACTTTCCTCTTTGATCAGGTTCTATTGAACGGGTCAGACTTTAAATGATTTAATTAGAAGGGAGGAAACACAAAAAGTGAGTATAGCAGAAGATGAAAACAACAAAAGAAATGGTATGAATCGACATCGATATCTATGCCATAAATTATAAGGGTGACTGAGCATTCTTTGAATTTATCTCTAGTGTCTTTTTTGGTTTGAAATGGGGACAATTAATTCAGTTAAATTCAACCGACAGACAGTTAATTAAATGCTTTACTGTAGCAATAGGAACATTGTGCAATAAATAATACATGCTACTGATTAATATGTGTAAATGGATATTGAATATTTCGGGTTTCAAAGTCAGCTGTGGTGAAATTTCACCTGGAAGAACCATGTGATCCACTAATAGCTAAATACATGACATGACACCTACTTGAGAACTTGATGTCATTGTGATCAGGTGACCTAAACGCCCTGTTTAACGAGTTAGACTAGAATCCAGATAGCGGTTAGAGTTCTGAACTTGTTTGCGTCGATTGTACAGTGGTTAGGACGCTTGCCGACCATACAAATGTTCCGGGATTAGATTCCCGGCCGACGCACACGTGATATCAATGGCTAGTCCGCTAAATTTGGGCTGCCGATATCACATACTGAAAATCCCATACTTGTAAACAATTACTGTGTGAAATCAAGCTATAATAAAAATTTTTTAAAAATTAATTACAGTGCAAAATGATTAATTTATAGGGACTGTCACTTTGGATTTTCGATGCCTTAGTCGTCGTCACTTCGAATAGACAGATCAGATGACCTTGTTGTAATTCAGCACTTTATTGCATAAAAGGTTAGTGATTCAATTAAAATGTTGCGGGTCTACACTCAAGTTCGATGAAGCATACTCTACACTTTTCTGTGAATGGTAGACGTCACAGAGTTTAAAAGTTGAATCCCTTAACTAATTTTATCAGGTAACCAACTTAAGTATCATCATTCTCAGATAGTAAGGGTTAGAATACTTAATTCATGGATAATCCCCATCCAGGCATTAATGAAAACAAAACACGTAGATCAGCGAAGAGTCTCTTTTCGGCGAATTCATTTTCTTAGCTGTACAATCGCAAATATATATGCATTGTTTTGTATGTATGTGTACATTAAGTTTGTCAAACAAAGTTACAATTGGTTAAGGTTACTTTTAACTAAACAAGTGGAGGATGGTAATACAGGTCAAGAAAATTAAGTGCTAATGAAACTAGGGTAGTAAAAAAATGATGAGTTGTCACAAACAGTTGTAATAATAATAGTGAGTTTTACTCAGGATGCACATAGAAACAAAGTAGATAATGCGAAACTATGTAAGAGATCTAAGTGGATACAAGAATTATAATTGCTTAAGGTTATTTTAACTAAACAGGTAAAGGTTGGTAATATAAGTCAAGACCATTAAGTGCTAGGGTAGTAACAAAGGTGATGAGTTGTCACAAACAGTTGTTAAAAGAAGTTATGCAATAATAATATGAATAGTTTGATGAGTGAGTTTTACTCAGGATGCACATAGAAACAAAGTAGATAATACGAAACTATGTAAGAGATTTAAGTGAATACAAGAATTATAAGCAATTAAGGAACAGGCGAAGAAACAAAATTAAGTCATCAAAATAAAATAAAAGCTCAAAACAAATCAAAACATTGTTACCATGAGAGTAGAAGTGGTTGAGTAATCTTCTTTTGTATGCACAGCTCCGGTTTTTCCATGTGAATGGCCAGAGCTTCAGCGATGCAAAGGAGACGAAACCGTATTGCCTTTGATATGTTATTCTTGACTCTGTAGATTACTTTGAAGGAGGCGTTCGTTGAAATGCAATGATCAGTGTTGACCAGGTGTTCAATTATCGCACTCCTTATTGCACCAGTATTGCCTTTTCGCAACCATGCTGGATAATGTTCTTGAATTCTCTTGGACAGGATGCGCGTCGAACGACCGATGTACCTGGCTCCACAGCAGCAGGTGAACTGGTATATGCACATAGAAGTGGCCAGATGCGGGATCTTGTCCTTGAGGCTTCTGCAGATCAGTGGGCGACTGGAGAACACTATTCGTAGCGTTGCTGCAAAGAACGTTCTTCTCAGAGATGATGTGATCCTTCTCTTGAGAATATCGCTTGCTAAATCTCCCTTGAAATCCAAATTCATGTAGATTTTCTTTTTAGGCACAGTTAAAGTTTCGTTTTTCCGAATTATTGGTTTCATATTTTTGTCGATAAATCTTATTGGGTATCCATTTTGGATGAATATTTCTCTCAGAATATCTAATTCTGTTTCCAGAACGTCGGGACTACAGATGCGTCGGATGCGGGTAGCAAGTGATTTAATTAAGTTTCGCTTTTGTTGAATGGGCACCCAGCTATAGAAGCTTGTTAGTTGACCATTCCACGTAGGTTTTCTATGGATTGATCTTCTTAGGCTCCCATCAGCTCTTCTTGTCAGTTCCACATCAAGAAACGGAATTTTTGACTCGTTTTCCATTTCAAGAGTGAATTTTATTGCTGGATGGCAATTGTTAAATGTCTTCAGCAGCAGATTGGGGTCGTTGTTGTTGTCACAAATAATGAAAATGTCATCCACGTATCTTTTATACAGTCGCAAATTGTCGATGCTTGGCTTTAGTGAACCTCTCTCGAGGCTTGCCACGAAGCAATCTGATAGTAGTGGACCCAACGGAGATCCCATTGCAATACCATCCTTTTGTCTGTAGATGGTGTCGTTGAATGTGAACTGGACGTTCAGAGTGCATCTCAATAATAGTTCTTTCAAGTATGTTGTCGGTATTCCAATATCGAGGTGGTTGTCATCTATATATCTGCATATGAAGCAGACCGTTTCTGTGAGTGGGACATTGGTGAAAAGTGACTCGATGTCGAAGGACAGCATAATTTTGTTAGATACATTCGTGTCTTGTATGCACTCGATGAACTGGAAGGTGTCACGGAGCGAGTACGTACATAATTGCTTCCTTACAGGTTCCAGAATATCTGCTAGCCATTGTGCAATAGAGTGGTAAGGGGAACCTGACATATCCAGAATTGGACGAAGTGGGAGACCAACCTTGTGTACCTTTGGTAGACCATAAAGTCTTGGTATTATTGAACCTGTTGGCCGGATCTGATCGTAGATATCCCCACTGATTAGTTGACTAGCCTTCATTCTCTTCAAGACATCTGTGAGCTGCTTCTCAATCTGTTCCGTCTTGTTTCTTTCATTGGAAGGTTGGGAAAATTTGTCTTCATTCGACAGTATATCGTTCATTTTCTCGATGTAGTCTCTTCGATTCAGAAGCACTACACCCGCACCCTTGTCGGGTCGAGTTATAAGTAGATCTTTGTTATCTCTCAGCTGTTTTAATTCCTCTCGGTGCCGCTTCGTTAGGTGGTTGCGGACTTTTGATTTTGAATTCAAGTATTGGTGGCAGCAGTCCATGATTGTTGACTTGAATCTCTGTAATTCGTCTTCAGAAGTTGGGCTGAGATCGTGCGTTTGGCTGATTAGATTTTCAAACTGGACCTGAGTATGGAGTTTGTCGGAGTTGAAATTTATATCGCAGAATTTAGGGCCCAGAGATAGGACTTCCAGTTGCACGTCGGTTAAATGTACTGAGGAATAATTGAACACAAACTTCGTGGGTTCGTCAGGAAATTTGCCTTGAGGTTTCATCTGCTTAAGGCTGTTGTTGAGCTGGGTTACGACAGACTGCGACCGTTTATTCGCAACCAAGTCGATATATTCGGTGAATCTTTGACGTTCATCCGAAGTCAATTCGTATAAGGCAGAGGACCTCTGATTGATATTCCGCTGCAGTTCGGGCATACGTGATCTGATAGAATCAGCACAATTCATTGCATGGCGTTGAAGGGACTTCGTATTTGGATATATATGATTGCGTCGCAGTGCTTTCCAGAACCACTTTGGATACTGATGATTGGAGACGCAATCCTCGAAAAAGCCAACTTTCGCTTTCCCCACAGCAAGCTTGACAGAGTACCGCAGAAACCCATTGAGTTCCTTGACTGTCGAGGGGTCCTTGCTACGTTTCAATTCATGGATAATCCCCATCCAGGCATTAATGAAAACAAAACACGTAGATCAGCGAAGAGTCTCTTTTCGGCGAATTCATTTTCTTAGCTGTACAATCGCAAATATATATGCATTGTTTTGTATGTATGTGTACATTAAGTTTGTCAAACAAAGTTACAATTGGTTAAGGTTACTTTTAACTAAACAAGTGGAGGATGGTAATACAGGTCAAGAAAATTAAGTGCTAATGAAACTAGGGTAGTAAAAAAATGATGAGTTGATGAGATGATGAGATGATGATGAGATGATGAATACTTACCCAAGGAATCTAAAAACAGTTATTGAACCAGAAATACGACTAAAATCTATGAATCAACTAATTCAGTGGTCTTACCAGAACTTTTTAGTTATTAGTTGAAATCTTATGAAGTACAGATGTTTCACAGTTGGTCGACAGCCCCTTCATGTTCATTGTGACGAAAATCACTACAAATTCCAGAATTCCGAAATAATATTATTCAGATTATGCGGAGTTTGACAGAAATGCGTGACTTTTAGATGAAGTCAAATCATGTTTGGTAACATTGATAGTTTAGTGCTACATACGATTTTCAGTAGAAACTTATAGAAAAGAGTACTTGCATTAAAACAGATATAATGCATGAACAAAATAACTGTGGTTAGATATAACATGAGTCTGTCAACCCCTACACTTTCCATAGAATAACTCAGTTCTTCACATCAATATTGGTCTACTCTAATTTTATCACACTTGTGTTTCCTCACTTCTTCGATTTCTCGAACACTAGATGCTTCAAATGAAGAATAGCCTACTCCGTAGTCTTATGTTAGCCACCCATCTGTAGCACTACCATGAGAGAGAAGTACAAAAGGCATTGTGAACTAAGTTGAATTGGGGTGTGGAAGTAGCTAGAAAGCTACCTACTTGACTTACATTCTAGACAGTATTCTCCGTTCAACAATAACTTAGTCTTCATCTGACGGCATAGCCTACAGTCCACCAACGATGTATGCAAACGTCAACGTGAAAATCAATGTGATTATTAGTTGATGTGTGAGTGGATCAGTGATGGAATCCCTGTCAGCCATGTAAGAGGTTGAGCTTCAATTGCTGGTCGATGCATTCCTCAACCTCACCTAGCCAATGGTAAGGTTGGAAAGAGGAATGTTTAGGTGGAGAGGAAGACTAGCGACTATAATATTTAAAGATGATACTACTGCTAATGAAACATCACAAGCTTGAGGTCCACTGTCCCCCTTCAGAAAGCAAAGAATGTGAAACATGATAATGGCCTAGTTGTCAGTTCTTTGGGCTGCAAACTTGTTTCGCGCTTTCTTTTTCACAAGAGTTTTCGAGTCAGTGACATTTTATTTGAACAAGTGAACGCATCTGTCTCTTCTCATGGTTATCTTTCGAATAGTGAAGAGGGTGTTCGTATCGTCGTTATCCCATTTTGTAGACTGTGTTAGCCAGAAGAAAGTATGAAGGTTGATTGAAAAGTTCGTGAATAATACCCAACCAGACATTAACAAAAGAAAACACTTAGTTCAAAGAACAGTCTCTTATAGGTAAATTCATTTTCTTTAGCTGTACACTTGCACTTGTATGCAAATTTTTCATGAAAGAGAGTATTAACAAAAGTGATGAGATGACATAATCTTAGTTGTTAACATTAGTCAGTGCATGAGAGAGGTTGAATAAATCTATTACACTTACGTAACAATATGAATAATATAATGAATGAGTTGTAATCAGGATGCAAATAGAAACAAAGGAAAACATATATGTAAAAGTTCTAAAGAAATACAAGAGTTATAAGGAGCTAGAAAAACAAGCAAATAAAAATCAAGTTAGTGCAAATCAACTCGTTTGTTACCATGATAATAGAAGAGGTCGAATAATTTTCTTTTGTGTATGCATGTCTCCGTTTTCTCTAACTGAATGTCTAAGGCTTCAATAATGGAAAGGAAACAAAAGCGTATTGTCTTTTGCTAGGTTGTTCTTCATTTTGCAGACCACTTTGAAGAAATCGTTTGTGCAGATGAAATGACCATTGTTAACGTGTTCTATTGTTATACTCTTCATAGAGCCACCAGTGTCTTTCTGTAACTACTATGCTGGATAGTGTTTGTTCTTGAACCATTTCTAGAGGCGGCATGCGTCGAACGACCTATACACCTGTCCTCATACAAAACAGGTGAACTGATATATGCACATAGAAGTGGTCAGATGGTAAATCTTTTCCTTAAGCCCTCTGCGGACCGATGGACGATTGGAGAACACTACTTATAGAGCTGCTGTGAGTAGTGTTCTTCTCAAAGAAGCTGAAATTCCTCTTGTATATTAAGTCTTTCTTGAAATTCAGGTTCATGTAAAGTTTATTATTTGAAATATGCAGTATTTTGTTTTTCTGAACTTTTGGTTTGATATTTTTGTCAATGAATCATGGTGGGTAAATAAAGATGCCTTTCAGATGATCTAGCTTTGCTTCCAGGGTGTAGGGACCACAGATGCATTGGATGCAAGTGGCAAGGGATTTAATTAAATTCCGTTTTTGTCAAACATGCATTCAGTTGTAGAACCTCACTATTTGACCTGTGGAGTACGTAACAATATGATTGTACACTTTGATATTACTATTACTATAAAAGATTACTATCACTATTAGTTACTTTTTTATATGTACCTCAGCTACAAAACAGGTACTGTGTTTTTCAGAAACGATCAATTTTCAATCCATTTTTTTCTTTCACCCTCTTTAATTACTGTATGCATAGATATCTTTGTTTATAGATTAAAAATCTTTGTTCATGGCTTCTGCAAAGAGAAACCGATCTCATTTAATTGATATAAACTTCTACTTCAATTTTTGTTTTTGAACTATTTGTAAATACGTTCAAACTTTAAACGATCCCAATACCTTTTTGCGTACATGCATGTTATTATGTATCCTTTTTATTATCCTAAAAGTGGTTATTACTATTATTATTTACTTCACTAACAGTGACAGTTTCCGGTAGTCTCTCTGGACCTCTAGGGGGGGGAGCCGTGTGGAGTACGTAACAATATGATTGTACACTTTTTGTTAGATATTAAAATTAGAGACATTGTACATGAATTTTGTTTAAAACGACTCATGTTTAAAAACAGATAACCTCCGAGTACAATCCGAAATACATTGTCCTGTTGGTAGCTTCGCCTTACCGTCTACTTGCTCCACTCATACCGTGTTGTATACTTAAGATTTATTATCCTCATGCGAAGACATCTCTACAACCAGCCCACAGCTTCTACCAGTAGACACGATTCCAACAGTGAACACTTCTGTGGATTATATTAATAATTTGTAGCAGTCGACTTTAACAGTATATCCAAGTAACCTTTTAATTAATATAACTCATTACTGTATTTTTGACAATATATTATTACACTATCATCTCAGTCACTTGGATTTTTATTCGCATAGTCGTTATGTTAATGAGCTCGCTAGACAGTCCCCTACAGAGCTTCTTAAGGTTTAATCAGGTCTTCTTGTTAGTTCCATGTCATGACAAAGTGATAGATATCAGTAATAATAACTATAATATTGTTTCTTATTAAACAGCAACTTATTCAAGATCTAACATTCATCATTCAGTGAATGAATGAATGAATGAATGACCTAGTAAGTTAAACTCACCATGTCATGATACATGCACATCAAATTTATACATCTAAAATAGAGGTAAATGCGATTTCTTCATTCCGCTATCATCCACTCTTGAATGGAGAGAAAATATCCAGGTTAAAAATGTCAGTTAACGATAATATTATTCTCGATGTGCAGAAACACGAATGTTTTTTGAAGAATTTTTTGTATTTTATTTTATTTTTGTTTTCATATGGATCACAAGGCCTATATATATATATATATATATATAACGTTTTATTGATTTTCATTCTGATACTATCCAGTGTGACTGTGTATGATATCAATTATCTATCAACATATCACTTCATTAAACAGAATGTGTACATGTATTGTTCATATCAAAATAAAATCAATGAAGCCAGCTACTGTTAGAATAACATCAATGACGTCTTTTGTCTTTCTACTAGGCAACTTATCTCTGCAACACATTGATCTCAAGATTTAACACTGTTAAACTAAAGAACACAAATTCAGAGATTATGTCACTTTTTTTTCATTTTTAATCACCTTCGCGATCAACATTTCTAAAGTTTTCTCTCTAGCTATTCTAGAAATATTTTGCAAAGCATATCATTCGAGATGTTATTAGAGATGTGAGGACTTCCTAAGTTTGAATGCCTCAAATTTTATAAGTTCTTGGGTATGAATGCTTCTGTCACCTTATTAACCCCGAAAGAGAGGTATGTAATGTGCGGTCTTCTGCTTTATTTGAATAGAAAGCCACGTCTGTGTTAATGTTCTCTCGTTTAGTAACATGTTTCACACTTTTCAGGCATTCGCATCTCAGGTTTCCTTCTACTGTCGACCTTTTCGGATATTTGTCTTTGTTTATTAGTCCACCTCGCCGGCGAATTATAGTATTATGTGTTAACAGGAGTTGTTATGTTACACCAAAATATAAAAGCGTTACATCGAAACTCGAATTAGTAAGATGTACTCATACTTGGCTTCTCTTTTCATCACAAATTGCTTTCTATGCTGCTTCATGATAATCATCACTCTTCCTATTTGATACCTAATCCGTCTCGCTGCTATTCAAGATTTTTGCAGAAGACGTCACAACATAAAACCAGTTTACGAGAACTGTTGTCTTTGAAGTAGCACAGTGTATGTGTGTGAGTGTGTGTAACTGCAAGGTCAAAGTTTTACATGAGTAAAAACTAAAACAGTTCTTTATAACACAAAATTTCACTTTCAAGTGAAAAAAAACCTCTAAATCAGTCTCCCAGGGGATAAGAGTGAGAAAATATTATGATAAAATTTTATTAGTTTCTAATTCTTGCATTCTGAGCGGTTTTCTTTGTTTAACAAATTGCTGTATCTCTCTCGCTCACCATCATTTCCACATTGTTTATCTCATTATATCTAGCCAGTATTTCATAGCAGCGTTCCCAAGTCTATCATCATAACGGTCCATTATAATTCCTTACTGTTCAGCATATCGCTTACTCAAGGAACAAACTTTATTCAGCTGTCGAGCACCTTTTCCTTACGCATTATTCTGCATCACCACAGCAGTTTTTCAAAGTGATAGATAAGATAAAGTAAATGGTTTCCAGAAAATTCTTCGGTCTACAGCAGAAGCTATTGCTATACACAAGAAAAACCTTTAACGGTGAATAGGAGGACAGGATTCACCAGAGAAAAGAAAATTTTAAAGCTTTCTATAGTCTGTAAAAAATTATATTTGTAAAATCTCAGCGATATTGAAATGAGTAATTCCAACGTTTCGTTCGGCAATCTGGTCCGAACTTCTTCAGGGAAATTAATCGAAATTAACATAACAGGTTTACATATAAAAGGAACATCTTTTGTTTTTAAAAACTTTGTCCAATCATGATTTATAAAACAAATATTAACAAGTATAATAAACGAAATTGTACGAGTTGTGGTCAAAATTTGACCTCAGACTTACAAATATTGATCTACCTTTGTTAAACACTTTAAACACAGTGTTTACGTGTGTGTGCGAAAAAAACAGTCGTAAAGCAATGTCTTAACATCTCCATAAGTAGATATAGACAGTCGGGAAACTTTGACCAAGTATTATTAGTTAGTGATACATATCCATTCTTATTTATTAATCAGGATTTCCTATGCGTCATCTAACATCACACCTTCATGTCTGTTCAAACTGTTAGTATCTATAATTTTATGATTAGACGTATTTTCAAAATTATGGTGTTTAGGATAAGGGTTTAGTTGAAGCACCCTGTCAAACTTATTACTTTGTCTTCTTTCTCACTCGGCGCCCAAATATTATAGAACTATTCTGTCAAATCTTGACTACAGTTCATTTGATTTATTTTGTAATCGAATTAAATTAACAAAGAAACTATGTAATTGGCATAATCATCTGGTTTCCACTCTCCGTTGTCTGCAGCAGAATGCGTATCCTAAATTCGTAGCTGTCCAGTCACCTGACAACTTCAGTAGGTCGAATAAAGCAGCTCAATTTTCAGAAAGAAGACAAAGTCATGAGTTTGACAGGGTGCTTCAACTAAACTAGCGAGCATCAGATTAACTTTCTATAGTTTGGTATCAATCCGTGATCAACCCCTAGAACATAACTAATCCTTACAAACCAAACTATAGAAAGTTAATCTGATACTCGCTAGTGACTTGCTACAGGTTGGAGTTTCCTGAGTTCTAGTGAGAAGTTGTGACCAGTGAGGTCCAATTAGATGTCACGTGTGTGGATGGATGTCCCACCAACGACAATGGTTGGGGTCGCGCTAAATCACGAATTAGTAGAAGTTAGAATTCATGGGTTGGCCATTGAATCGGGTTCCGGTGGCTGAATGGTATACGAGCTTGCCCTGTAACCGGAAGGTCCCGGGTTCGAATCCCAGTGGGTGTGTACTGCCGATGATTCCCAAACTAGGATGAAACAGCAGCTGTCCAGTACTCCCTGGTTTTCAATGGTTCTCTAACTGATATCAATCCGTGATCAACCCGTAAAACATAACTAATCCTTACAAACCAAACTATAGAAAATATAATATGATGAGAATTAAGACGAGTGTTCTATATGTCCAAACCAAGTTCACTGTTAACAGTTTGAAAAAATTTGGGTATTGGGTATATGATATTCATTATAATAAAGTTTTTGTATTTCTCAATGAATGAAAAACAAAACGATATTGTTGTTTTTACTGACGTTTCGCTATTTAATGCTAAAAGCTTTATCAGAGTATTATTAAACCTGAATTTACAGAATCTCAGCATATATATAACAAAGAGTTAAGAGTTATTATATCGTTATGTTTTTCATTCATTGGGAAATACAAAAAACCTTTATTAAAATAAGACGAGTGTTGTTATTCGATTTACTATGGAAGATCAAATACATTCGGAAATAATATTAGTGTTATCAATAAAACATAATAGGACAGGAAATAAGACGAGTGTTGTTAGTCAGTAAGATAGGAAATAAGATATATATATATATTAAAATAAATAACTTCTTTGAATGTTCTAAAGTAAATTGAAACACATTTTAACATTATTTATTGCTATCCTCCGATTTGACTCGTAATAATATCTTCCATATCTCTTGTATTTGCGTTGAGTCACTTCTATTCCATATGTCGGATGTGTAAACTCCACCTACCTATATTACTCATCACATTATATTTATTGATAAGACGAATATTTTTTCCGAATGTACTCCATCTTCCTCTCTATTTCACGCATGGTTATTGAACTTTATTGATTTTATTCAAATGTCTAATCATCAATTTTTACTCATGTATATGGTAAACGAAGCAAGGAAGTTATGTGAGTATTGCCTTGATATGATTATGAGCAGTAATAAATTGTGCTCGAGAGTTGGTCATCAGTAAATAATATTACTGCATAACACTGTGTAATTTTATCAAAATCAATTTTATCCATAATGGGATTTTTTAGGACACAGTCAAACACAGATGTAATGGGAAAAAAACAGTTTTAAATAATTAATCTTAGCTTTATATTTTATATGGTTATGTAGTCTGTTTTCAGTGATATACTCAACAACAAAAAATTGCACTTGTCGAGACAGTCTTAAGCGGAAAATGCTAGGAAGGTCAATCACAATCAACTTATTTATTGACTGCAACTGCAAAATACCTGAAAATATCCTCACAATCTTTGACTATCTGTTATGTTAGCTGTTCACGTTTTCATGTTTAAACTCATAATTACCCTTTCTTTTTCTTCTGTTCGATTTGAAGGGAAATAGATTTCACGGCCTAACTAATGAATAATGTTTGTGAGCTAGATGTCAACAAAAGTATTTATAAATTTATTATCACTGTTCCTATGGGTTCTGAGCGGAACATACGGCTTCAAGAACACATCTCCACTTTGTTCTGTTTTCTGCTATCCTCTTCAACTGGATCCTATTTATAATTAAATTCTAAATTTGCCACTTATACAATTCGAGGGAGAGTTAATCACAGTCTCCTATGGAAACCAAAATTATTCAAATCACAATCTGTGAACTGTTTGGTACTATAAATGGTAATCAAGAAAGCAAGCATAAATGTATGAAACTATGTACTACTGATTGTTTGAGATGAGTAGTATCTATAGCCACTGGATGTTCAAATGACAATGTCGGTACGTTAATTAAAACAACAGAATGAGAAACAGAATTTAAAACCAGCCAAAATGATATTTTAGAAACCGAACTTTCAAATTTGTACACATTTTATTTGTTTTCCAGCAATTCAACACTATTCACTGAATGAATATACGTCAGGACAAATTTCTCTGCATATAATTACTTATGTCTGTATGTAAATATCAGTTCAAGTGAAAAAAATATACCAGTGTGTTTCATTTGATTGTGGAATTTATAAAAGTAACTGGGATGCAACTTAGCTTAATTATCATTGGTAGTTTTTCCAACCAATCACAATCAAGAAACTGCCATTCATATATACATATAAACTGTTTGTTAGTTTAGTTTGTTAAACAAACAATCTTGCCATATCTCTATCTGAAGTACTTATTTAACCAGTGTAATCCACGGAACAAATCTACATTCTCTAACATGACTACAGGAAATGTTCGTCGTGTCCTTCTACCTATTGATGGCAGTGATCACAGTAAACGTGCAGTAAACTGGTACTTGAAAGAGTTTAGTCGACCGAATGATTTTGCCTATTTTTTCCATGCAGTTGAACCGCATTATTCAAAATCATCTTCCGCTGATACACATGACGTTCATAAAGAGTTAGCCACCAGTGTGGATAAAAACATGAAAAATTATGCAGAACTTGGAAAAATACTTGGTGAACAGTTATATGAAGATTTACAGAAGAGTAAAATTGAATTGGAGTATATCATGCAAATTGGAACAAAACCTGGTGAATTAATAGTCAGTGCAGCTAAAGAAAAATCTGTCGATGTTATACTGATTGGTAATCGTGGTCTCGGTGCATTGAGACGTACGTTTCTAGGCTCTGTTAGTGAGTATGTCTTGCATCATTGTAATATACCGTTTATTGTTGTTCCACCTCCTGTGAGTTAACCAGTGATGAATAAGAACCAGTGGGATCACTTGTGTCCATTTGTTTCTTTTACACTCTATGCTTTTTGGTTTACATTCCATTAAAGTTTTAATAGATGTCAGTGTATATGACTTTTTGAAAGACTATTAGTATTGTCAATAACATTGTTTTAATTGGAAGCTGTTATTCCAGCGAAGAATGTTAAACTATCTGCTTCTAACTTATTTTTAATCTTATTATTCAACTCATCAGATGAACTATATGAACAAGACCATATAACGAATGACATAAATGAAACTGAAATTCTGTTTTGTATTGCTGATCTTTTCTCTATGTATGCTGATAAGTTTCAGTTATTATTAATTCATATTAAAAATAATTCATATACATTTGATTGTGTTAGAAATTTTACATGCCACAATATATAAAAAGATGGATAGTATTCAACATCTGTGAAAACAGAAGACTATAGGTGCAGCAGGCAGTGTCTATCCTGAAGAACACCAGCTGAAGACAGCTGATTACTTTGAACTTAATTGGTAATGCTGCTGTACAATTTAAATTACTGCGAATATGCGTAAAAACTTACTGAGACTATCGGATCACCCTCAAAGACTACATTGTTGAAGAATATATGGAAGTGTATCCGTTTGGCCAGATATTTAAGTGTTCCTAAGTTCGGTATTTCCAGCCTCAGTTAAATTCGTGATAACCAAACATTCTTCAGAATATCTAAGATAGTTTTAATATAGCAGACTGGACTTAAAGTAAATGCGGCTAGAACTAGAATTAAGACGAAATTCATAAGTTGCAATAGTACTCAAATCACACTTCGCCTAATTATCAACCCCAGTGCTTTTTTTATTGACTTCAACTTATAGTTTTGTGATTAATCGTGGAAAAACAGACGTCCTAGGCTAACTGTCATCATGTACGTCTAAATTTACTTCAGATTATTTTTTAAAGGCAGTCATTACAGGCCGTCAGCCTCATATTTCTTAAAATCAAAGTGAGCTAATGATTAGGATTATTTTCTTCGCCATATACAAATCGATACTAAACATATTCAAATTAATGTAAATGACCTCCTCGATATTTTATTACTAATCTATTCAATCACGCCTTTTCTAAGCATAAATATCTTAATGATTAAACACCTAAGTTAAGAAGTTAAGTAAAAATGATTGTGTAACCAGTCAATAAAGTTCAACTCTATTGTGCTTTTTTCTTCAAAAAGAAAGCTCATAAAATGATCGTTTTGAAATTCGATTTGTAGAAATCAGTTACTACCAACTTGTGTTAGTTTAAAAAAATGCCACTGTAAGAAAAATAACTGGCATCATAACAGCACATTCCAAGTGGATTGCACTAACCACATTCGATTGTAAATGTGATATAGGTGAAAATATGATTTTGCATCATATTGTATAGTGCTTCAGAGTTCCCCATGGTGGGTGTTTTCTTCACACTCTGAAGTACTCATTGTGTGTTCTAGAAAGGTTTTGTTTGCACAAACGCACACACAAACACTAAGATATCAACAATCCGACAACTTCTACTTACCTAGCCGTCTGTGTCGTGTTCCGTACACACACACACTTGAAAATGTTGCATGATAATTCGTTACTTAACCCGATGACCAATACTGTATTTACATATATTTTCTACTGATTTCATTCAACAAAAATTACTTCGTTGGAGGATTTCATCATGAGTTGATAACAGTTAGAGAACCACTGGAAAACCTGGGCGTATTGAGCAGCTGCTTCGTCCTAGTCCGTGACCCTTCAGAATTACGCGCCTAGGACCTGGGTCCAAACCCTGGCGTACCGATGAAGAGTCCCAAACTAGTACGAAACAGCTGTCCAGTACTGCAAGGTTTTCCACTGGTTCTCTAACTGATCTCAGCTCATGATGAAATCCTCCAACCAGTCAAACAAAATTCCCCACAAAACCAACACTTGAAAAAATTAATTAGTTTTCGTTTTCTCCTATTTACTCAATGCTATCAGACTGATTTGACCACCTTTTGCTAGTAATCCGTTAACTGCCAATTTTCATAATTCCCTTACTTATCATTAAAGCTTATTTCTGTCCATTCTTGACAATAATAACAACTGTTGACTGATCACAATACATCTTCACAGAAATCAATAAGGAAGGGAAGAAGAAGAGTCCAAAGTGAACAACCATCGACAACAATCGATAGCTTGAAGTGAATTTAGGCAACCTCTTATGATCCTGTGATCGTTTCCATCACTGAATGACAATATCCTTTTTTAGCTGAAGTCTTGAGAATACAAGGCACACATACACACATACAAAATAGGAAGAGCTTAAGCTATTTAAGACGGATTGTACACATATTTTATTTGCATAGGTTCAAAACATCAAGATTCAAAAATGACAGTGAGGTTTATTCAAAAGGAGTGTGAAATGTAGTCATATCTGGTTGTTTTTCACCAGCTGATTTTTGTTCTCATGTCTGATTTCACTTACGAATACGAAAATAAAATAAATTATTCAGTGTAATTTTCCCAGAAATTTTTGAATATATGTGTACGTTAATTGTATACAAAATGGTTCATTATTTGCCTGACTGCAAATATAAATTTAGGCTTCACTAGCCTTCGTTAAGCCAAAGAGTAGGTTGATCGGTTCTAAAGTTCGAAATCTGTTAGTTGTTTAGCTCATAGCTCGAAATCAGATTTCGCTGTAAAAATCCAAAATTCAATCTGAATGTAGGTATGAAACCAAAAGTCTGAACATTTATCACCAGTAGATTAGTGACTACTGAATGAATGTCCCGAAGTACCAATGAGAAGTTGCAGGTCGACAGATTGACTGATTAATTGCACCGATCGGCAGGAGAGCTAGGTAGCCAAATGATAAAAGTTACAATCTATAGATTACTGCATACTAGACTGACGGCCAAATAACCAACGTGTTTTTACCTCATCATCTAGGTTCACTTCTTGATAGGGTGCACTGTTCAAGAATCCTAAGCATGGAGGAGACTACTGTTCACTAATCCGTGGTTTTCAGTGGTTCTATTAACCAATGTTAGTTCACCATCTAATTAAAAACAAATGACTGTTTGTTTTTCGATGATGCATCATCCTGCAATGTATTCAGTATTCTGAAGAGGAAAGAACGTCTTGGATAACAATTCACTAGGCTTTAAATCAGCTTAAGATGAAGTGGAACACCTATCTGAATGATATTTTGTGTCATAATGTTTTACGTATTCAGTATAAGATATACTAATGTCTATCAATCATCACAGTTTGTGTGACCTAGCTAAATCAATTAATTTTTAGTTTTCATTAATAACAGTTGTTATTGTCTGAAACTTGGAATGAGTCAGATATGGTAAATATATAGCTTATTATTATTCATCTTGAAATTCGCTAAGCTTGATACCTTAATTAAATAGTGGAATGCCCAGTAAGTATGTTATTTGGAGTGAATTAATCCATATGTAGCAACACACTCTCAACTATCATTTAACGTATGAAGCAAACAAATTAAGCTTAAGCTTTAAAATGACCAGCTAGCCTGGAAAATTTACATTACCAAATAAAAAGGTCATATAAACAATTACATTTGGATTAGATTTTTTTCTGGTTAAATGTCAGTTAGTTAGATAGTTAGTCTGTAACTAAATATCATTCACAGTGGCACTGTAAAATGTCCTGTTGTATTCATCTATAATAAAATAGAAATTATCAACTATTAGGAGTGAATTAATAATCATGGGATATTCAATGCGGTGAATCTATCCTGTAAAATGATTAGTAAGATGTTTGGTTGGTATTATTGGGTGTACCAGATTGACCAAGCCAATTGAATTAAAACATCAAGACTATTTTATAGAGTATTCAATGATCACTAGTACTACTTATTCATCCCATCCTAAGCGGAAGCTTCAGAGGGACATCTCCATCTCACTCTGTTCTCTCACATCCCTTTCAACTGGCTCTACGACTGTCCAAAAGCTTTCACATCTTTTTCACATGATTCCCTCTGTGTCAACCACGCAAACATACCCAAACCATAGCTTCCCAGTCAGGTTCCACTCTATGACTTGGCAGATGGTGCTCCCTGAATGTATCTCAAAACTCTCTCCATTCCTTCTGCATATTTGTTCATCGGCAACAAACTGCTGGACGATTTGACATCTATCAGAATTTCACTTCACTTGTGCTTTACGGCCGGCCATTTGATCTTCAGCAGTGAGTGAAGGCGGTAGGTGTTCACGAAAGCCTCCAGTAGACTGTTGGAAGTGCTTTCGGTGATGTGAGCACCACGTTCCTGAGACACGGAGAATCACTGACTTGACACGATATTTTGTCTCTTGCACTGAGTTATGAAGATATGCACACTAATTTCAGAGTAACAAGGGAATTTCGTGCTCTTCAGATTCTATTTGTGTATAACACCGTCATTCGTACTGTAGGTAGAGGAAACAATGCCACAGAGAGAGATAAGTGAAAGCGATTCCTTCCCTTGATTGTGGTTGGTGTTTTCTGCTACTAACTGGATATCTTCATTACCTCTGTCTACTCTATGTTCGCCTGGAGTCCAGTCACAATTGCCAACTTGAAAATCGTCGAATTTGTAAGACATGAGACATAAATCGCCTTAGAAATCCACATCTTCTACGGTTTTCTTAACAGACCAACATATTTCTCGACTTCAGTGAAGCTTACTTTAATTCAGCAATGAGAGTGTTGGCAGTGGTGAACCAGCTCTGCAGTGAACCCCATCTACAATGATCATAATGCATTGAGACTATCAAAGTACAGGCTTAGATGTTAAGACGGAGTAACTTGATAATAATATTTCTGCAGTTATCGAAATAAAAGTTGCAAGCTATGTAGTAGATATTCTGAGTTATGGAAACGACCTGCTTCCTTTTGGCTTACTTCATTGTACATTTTCACTGAAATTGTTTTTGTAGCACATCAGAAAGGTGAATAAAACTCGGCTTATATGAAATAGTTTGGTAAAAATGCAATATGATTTATGTATAACTAACAGGAACACGTTTGTGTTGTGTAATCAAAGAACTTACAGCTGACACGTTCACATTTTGTGTTACAACTCGTATTAAAATTATTTAGCTGACAAGTTAATTTAACTTACGAAACATTTATGTTGTTTACACGTATGTAGCAACTTTAGTCACATATCATGATAATAACAATCAGATACCCAGATGATTCAGTACACGGACGTGCCTCAGATTACAATTAACTTATGCATGAATAGGTCAGCTAAAATTATAATGCTCAACTTTATTGGAATTTTTTATGGGTCCATTTGGCAGCCAATGATAAAATACTCTTGAGACAAATTAACAGTATCCGGTATGCTTCTAAAATATTCTTCTGTATAAGACACAATAGTCTCAATATTCGTTGGCTAAATTTAGCTGCTACACACACTGAAAGCCTACATTTAAACTATCAACAAGGAATCCATTTAAAAAGTC